GCTAACCCCGGCGACCCGCCTTCCCGGTTTAGCCCACACCGCCGGAACTCTTCCATACATTACGGATACATCATGGTTCTCCCTCCCCGATAGCCTGGTACCCAGTCTTATCGTGGTTGGGACGGTTTTTCCTCGAGGCTGCAGGAGCTTAGCCTGGTACCCAGTCTTATCGTGGTTGGGGCGGGGTTTGTCCTCGGAGCTCTTCCCCGTCCGCTTCAGCTAGATTTCCAGGTAGATATTTCACGATTGGAGATTGTTTCGTAGTGGGGAAAACCATCTCTATTATCTGTCTTTTATCTCAAATTGTACTCTCTATAGCAATGAACGAAATTTAGCTTTTTGAGCCAGCCTCCAAATTCTACTCTAACTTTCACACATATACAAATGAAAATTACTCTGCTCTTAACATCCGAAAACCTCCAAATTACAGGAAAAAATTGGATCTTTTGTCTTCCTCTGCCTTCAAAAAAGAAGTCAAGCCTAGTAGCTTTTAGGAGTTTAGCAATAGTTTGCCTGTTCTTACGTACTTGCCAAATATTTCCTCTGTATTTGCAATAAAACAGTTCTAATGTAGTAAAACTCCTACCGGGCGGTCTGTTGTACTGAGCAGGGGGAACTATTAGAACCCCGAATTCACAGCCTGCCCTAACCACGATCAGACTGTATACCAGGCTACCTCCCCTCTTGTCGGCACGGCCACGGCCTGTTGGTACTGGGCGGAGGGGGGGGGGCTATTAGGACCCCGAAGACACAGCCTGTGACGATCAGACTGGATACCAGGCTACCTCTCCTCTTGTCGGCACGGCCACGGCCGTCTGCAATCCGCCCTGACGCGTGCCGACCTCTGACCTGCACGGGGATCAGTCTTAAGCTGCAAGCCGACGCCGCCGCGCGAATCAAAACAAACTGGACCGGAGGAGCGGGAAGATCTGCCAGTGGCGTCGCCAGGGAAAAAGCACGTCCCGATAAACTATTGGTGGCGTCGTGTGGCGTAACGGTAGAGTTCGGCTCGGAGCCAATAGGTCCCGAGTTTGAATCCTGCCATGTTATCGATCTTGTACCCTTGGCAAAGGTACTTTTTATAATACACAACTTTCCTCACTTCGCTTAGGTGAAAATGAGAACTATATTGTCCTCTTTGTTGGTGGTGATATAAAAATAAGTGGTAGAAAAAAGTCTTGTGGTTACATATTTGTTTGGAATAAAAAAAGTGGTTATTACGGGCTAAGCATTAGAGAATAAGAAGTAGAGAATCTAGAACTTGACCAAGAACTTGTGAATTCAACAGCAGCGATGCGATTTTGCTTAATCTCCAAGCAGATCGGTATGATCTGCATGCAGATTAACTTTCCTTTCAGTTAGACAAACTTTCTGTAGTAAAATATCTGTTCTTACGCGCTTACCAGCATATAGACCTGGCGTAACAAAACTTATTTTCAGGTCTAAGTCAAGCTACCTTCATACAATATGTCTACGACATGTCGACAGAATATCTTAAAGAGTCAATTGGTACCTTGATCATCTCTTAATGATATAAAAACACAACAGGATTGCAACTTTGAAATCCACCTCTTCAAAATAGGGTAAGGTGAGGGCACAAGTAGGAGACGCCAAAAATTGCCTCCCTATAAGTAGTGAAAATTCGCACGTGGAAATTGTAAGTGAAAGCGTTCCAACACGCGGCGACGTCTCTCAACAGCCCCCGCCATCTTGATTTAAGAGTCGATGCCGACGTACCGTTGCCACGGCAACCGCCCAAACAGTACGTCACCCTCCCCCGAAGCCCGCCTACTTTTTCCCGCCATATCTGTCGTCACCCCTGACTAATTGCCTATCGGTTTGCAAGGAAAGCTCTTCGCGCGACGCGGTGCCGTACGTGTTTGTTTGGGTTGTCGGGGGCGGGGGCCGATGGAGCCGCCGGGGGCGCACGTACGGCCGGCCCCGGGGCTGACACGGGCAAAGCACGGGGCTGGAGCCGAGCCAGGAAAAATGGAGCGCGTCGTTAGAAGTGGAACACGGTGATTTAGACATGTAGACTACGCGATACCCCTTCTGTGAGCTGAAAAAAGAGAAATTAAAATAGGGTTACTGATTTTGCTTGTTGTCCGATGATTCTCGACTTGCGGCATTGTACCCAGAACCGTGCCTATCTAGTTCTATGCCTGAGTTAGGATCAGGCATAGTTCTGGATAGTCTCCGCGTATCCAAGAACGTAGCTTTGCCCCTGGCATGGTTCTGGACCAGCTCCAGGAAAAATTGAGCGCGGTGCGTCGTCAGAAGTAGGACACGGTGATCTACATCTAGCCATGTCGTCTGTGAGCTGAAAAATAGGGGAATGATTTTGTTTGTGGGGTATTGAACCCAGAACCGTGCCTATGTAGGTCTATAAGAGTCCAGAGACTGAATGTGTTATATATAGGGTTGGGACTCAGTCAGGCGCGGTTCTGGATACCCTACGAGTATCCAAGAACGTAGATTTGCCCCAGGCATGGTTCTTGATACGCGTGGACTATCCAGAATCGTGCCTGAGAAACGTTCTGGATAAAGCATGGTTCGGGATACGTGAGCTATCCAGAACCATGCCTGATGACCGTTCTGAATAAAGTACTGTTCTTGATGTAAAAGAAGAATAAATGGTTGGCCGGCAGGGTTTACACTTAATGGAGAGGTGGGGAAATAGAGATGTCAGCGAAGCAACTTTTAACGATTTGTTGGTACGAGTGAAGTAGCCAGGTCAGTGACCCCTGTGTGCGTAGGTCCTACAGGGTTCTCGAATGATGAGTTGGCACTTTTGGGTAAGAAGGAAAAACATCTTAGAACCTGGATTTTTCCTAGGCACGGTTCTCATACGCGTGGACTATCCAGAACTGACATTGAGTATGGTTCTGGATGAAACACGGTTCTGGATACATGTGGACTATCCAGAACCGTGTCACAGTGCCTGAGTATATTTCTGGATAAAACACGGTTTTGGATACATGTGGACTTTCCAGAACCGTGCAGGAGAAAGGTAGCCTGGGTACCATCCCCAGTAGTATATTCGCAAACTCTATAACTGGGTCTGGACTTGCACACATATAAAACGATTGGTCATGACGTCACGTAATGAGCTAGCCCGAGCAGCGGGGCTTCATTTGATTGGCTGAGCCTCAGAGGCGACGGCCAATGGCGCACCTGCATTATTCAAGTGATGTTTGTTGTTTTGTAAACACAGATCTTCGCGCGAGTGTTCCTTTTCTCGGTGCGTTCTTTTTTTACCGGTAGGACGCCCAAAACATCACGAACAAAATTATTCAATGCATCTTTTTGCTCATTTTTGAGCGACGATATTCCGTCTAAAACGTCCAAAACGGACGTGATTGCAAGGTCAACATCAACCTCCGTGAGCTGAGCGGCTTGTGCGTTAGCCATGTTGATGATTTATCACGGAAAGACTGACTACGGCTATATCATGTGCGCTTTAGCGTTCGGTTCGCCGTCGGACATGTTGATGATAAGGCGTTCGGACGTTCGAACGGACGCTAACGTCGCCGTTCGGACATCCGAACGGCCCTTACCTAATATGTACACACCCAAAAAAGGGCTTAGACGAGTAGGACCAATCAGCGCGCTCGTTCAAAATCTGAACGAATATTTAGACTCCAGACGCTACATATGTGTGCAAGTCCAGACCCAGTTATAGAGTTTGCGAATATACTACTGGGGATGGTACCCAGGCTAGGAGAAAGGTTCTGGATAAAGCACAGTTTTGGATACATGTGGACTATCTAGAACTGTGCCTAAGTTTGGCAATGGATAAAGCACGGTTCTGGATAAAGAACGGTTCTGAACACAACATATATTGATAAACAGTCGGAACGCGGAGGAAAAAACAGCTCCAGAGAAGTTATTATTGTTGGAGCCGACACCTACCACCTGCAGAGGGGAGCTCTGTGTGAAAAATGACCCGCTGGTCTGTTTTGAAATGTGAAAAATGCCGCTCACTACCACGTCTTAATCAAGCTCGCCTTGTTGCTGAGGTTATTTACAAAATAACACTCAGGTTTACAAGAGAATCACCAAGGACGTTTGGTGCAATATTGAAGCCGAAATGTTGTCCTTGCACCAACAGTGAATAGTTTTTAACTGTGGATAGACGGTCGTTTAGGAAATGCCGCAACTTGCAAGGCGGGTGCATTTGCAAGGATATGATTTGCTTTTTGAAGGTCATGTTTTTTTAGGCGAGGTCAGTAGTACATGTTCTCTGTGTTCTCAGTTAATGTCCAAACACAGCATCAAATCGGGAGGGCAGTATCCAATATGCCATCGTTTGGCTGGCGCATAAAAAGATACCGTTACATGTAAGTCTTATAAAAACGCCTAAAAGACGTGAAGAAACACGTCGAAGTCTACACATCTGCTATGAGAGAAGGGCAGTACACGCTCCCTGCCCCCTTTTTTGAAGGCCGAGATCGGTACTCCACTGGCAGGTTCCCATCGGCTGACGGACGGGTGTAATTACCCGTGAGAACCCGCGCCGTGACCCCGGGACCGTGACCTGTACGTGGGCACGTTATCTCCCCATAATGCACCGCATTATGCACCTGCCGTTTTGGCGGGAATGTGACGTGTGCACCTGTAGTCTAGACACAATTTGTCTGGGTGCGCAGGCTAGCTGAACACATTCATGAGTGTGTATATATTGGGGGAGGGGGTATCATTCTGGTCTAAACAATAATGGTACAGTACTTCATTCATATACATAAATTTCCTGTGTTTGAATGTGTACCTTAGAACGTATGCCAAATCTACCTAGCAACATTCAGGTTTAACTATCCAACATGGTGGACAATGTCACGTGAGAGAAAACACCTCAACCTTTGCCCTTTCACCTTCTGATGTTTCTCGGAAGTGTGAAGGTGAAAAAACTTGCTCTTGGACACGGCGCAAGCCGTCAGTGTTGCCTATCTTAAGATGGAAGTTCAAGTCAAAGACGCTAACCTGGCTGTTTGTTCCTTCAGGTGTTTCCCGGAAGTCTTGAGGTGGACAAGCCCATCCAGGTGGACCCGCGCGGCAGCTGGATGTCCTTCGTCAAACATTCCAACAACGGAAACAAAAACAACGGCAGGAAAAAACGGAAAGAGCAGGAAAAAACACTGGTGAGTTGTAGAAACAAACAATAACAATAAGAACAACAAAACGGTATTATTTGATAATCTGATCATGATTTAAGAATGCCCGAAACATCCGTTTTCAAGTGAGGCCAAATTCGACATCTGCTTAAATCATTAGAAAGGCAAAAATTCTGTTTAACGTGAATTTTCTGTGCATTTACAACTGGCGAGTTATATCCCACAGGAATCTGAAATGTTTTTGTCGAAAGACATTTAGATCAGATATGATGTTTTTTTACGACTAGGAAAGTAACTCAGGGGCATGTGTGTTTACTCCCAGTCTCCTAACAAGCACTAACGTTAACATTCCTCCAACAACTTAGATTCTTACATAGGCACAGTAAAACACTGCAAAATCAGGAGGAAAACTGTTTCTTTGTAGTTCTGATGTTTTGGTTTATACATCACAGAGAAATGCTATGCAAAAATTTTATTGAGAAAAAGCATATTTTCATTCTTTTGGTTAATTCTGAGGTTTGGGTTTGTGTATGACAGAAACGCAATGCAAAATCACTTGCCTATTGAGACGAAAAACGTATGTTTGATTGTTTTGGGTAATTCTGATCTTTGGGTTTGTGTATGACGGTTGCAGGGCTTACTGTCTGATCCGCCAACCACCAACCCTGGCGCAAGGAAAGGGGCGGCTAGAAAGGTTAGGAACCCCTCATTCCCTCACTCATTCCCTCACTCATTCCCTCCCTCACTCACTCAACTCACTCACTCACTCACTTATTCCCTCACTCATTCCCTCACTCACTCACTCATTCCCTCACTCACTCACTCATTCCCTCACTCATTCACTCACTCACTCACTCACTCACTCACTCACTCACTCACTCACTCTCTCACTCAACTCACTCATTCCCTCACTCATTCCCTCACTCAATCCCTCACTCATTCCCTCACTCACTCAACTCACTCACTCACTCACTTACACGCTTTCTACCCGGTTGTTGTCCACCTTTAATGCCTTCTGATTACCTTCTTCCTAAAGGCGTGTTCACGTTGGCTGTAGGTTGTCGACGATTTTTATGTAGGCTATTTCCAAGCAGGCCGTGCTATGACAGCACCAACCGCCGTTGGTATTCTTGGCACTGTTACTGTTTGTCACCGTTTTTACTCTTTACTCTGTGTGCTCACCTTGCACTGCTACTGCCTTGAAAAGCACCACGCCTTAGCTCAGTGATGAGGATGACTTTCCTGGTTGTTCTCACTAACGCTTATACTGTCCAGACAATGCAAGTAGAACGATTGAGTAGATATTTTTTGCACAACTATTAGTATATTGATGCTAAAAATTGATACCGAACCGTTTATTGTTGCAGCACGGCCCACAGGGCCCGCCCGGCCCGCTAGGTCCCGCCGTGTTAGGGTTAGCATGGTTGATGACATTATGCCCGTTTGTTGCAGCACGGCCCACACGGCCCGCAAGGCCCACGGGGCCCGCCGGTTAGGGTTATAACTATAGGGTTAGTACGGTTCTAAACTTGAGCTTATGCCCGTTTGTTTGTTTGTTTCCCCAGCACGGCCCACCCGGCCCGCCCGGTCCGCGGGGTCCCGCAGGCCCGCCCGGAGCCGTCATCACCAAGGACGAGATGTTCCGGGAATTCAAGGAGATGGTCAGAGGTGAGGTTCACGACAGCTGGACGTTTTGCGGCTTCGGCCTTCGTCATATTTGATCATCTACGATTCTGTTAACTCTGGAAGTGGCTATTGACAAGATCATCCTGTCAATAACAGAAGAAATATACTGATGACAGCATCATCCTATGAAAAAGATTATTTCTGAATATTTCTGAACCGGTACATTTTCATTTTTTTTTCAGAGGCCGCCGAGAGAAGAGCGCTGAGGTTGCTACAAGAGAAGGTGAGATACTGACTAACAAGCAAACAATGACAAACCAATAATATGTGTGTGATAACAACATTTCTTTAGGGGTGTGTTGGCTCTAGAGCCGAGGAGCTGGCCTGTGTAGGCCCTGGAAACAGTCTGGCCTCCAGGCTACCCCACATACAACACACACTAGTCCAAATCCCGGCTATCACATAACTCGATGAATTTAAGTCTTCCTTCAACACTCTTATCTTGTTTTCCCGCTCCCTTATCTGGAAACTGTAGTCTCCACGACAGGGCTGTTTGCTTATGTTGTACTTAATTCTGTTGCGGGGTTGATAAAGCACGCAGCACAGCTGGTTCTGGCCCCGGGCCACACCGGAAAACGGTTGAAGCTTTCCAGTCAGGAACATGACACAAGCGGCACGACCTGCCGAGGGACAACACCCGGGCTGAAGACGTTTCTCTTCATCTCCAAGCAGATCCTTGGCTAATGGGTGGCTAAAACACGGACTGAAGACGGTTTCTCAATAAATTCTTCAAGCAGATTATTTGGTGGTTACAAGCTATGATGAAGACAGTGTCAAATTTGCAAGACAGTATCAAGTTGGCAGGGCAGTATCCAAGATGTTTTCTCCTTATATTTTGACGAAATGTTTCAAGTTTTACATTAATTGGTTCGAAATCCAAGGTGAGGATCATCTCATTTTCAACCACCGCCAAACAATAGCCAGGAGGACCAAACAGGACGATTTGCCAGAAGTCGCACTGAGTGCTGGAGACTGCTGGAGATTCGAACGATTTCAACATGGCTTCCTCGGATCGTATTACACGTTCGAACGTTCTCGTCAGCCCCTGGAGCAGGAGGCTCATAATGTGACATGTAGTTGTGAGTTGTAGGACCTGTCAGGGTCCCCGCCTTTCACTGGTCTCACACCAAAGCACCAAAACTCGCGGGAACACGAAAAGGTTCCGGGCATTCCACGCTGACGCTTTCACCAGAAGCGAGCAGAAGACGCCGCGTAGCTGGTATTGTATTACAAGAAACCGACCTTGACCTTTCTTCTTTCAAGGCCTGCCAGTGTACAAAATATACCTACCTGTAGCTGCTCGAGTTATGTTGGCCAATCACACACGCACATGCACACACACACACACACACACACATACACACAAACAGATGCTACCAGTTAGTGGTAAATTTAGTCCCCTATTGCAGAATTATCGCGGAAGTACTGTATTGTTTGTAGTCATGTTTGTTTGTTTGTTTGTTTATTTAGTGTCCTAAGTGCCTGAACGTGAGCCAACACCTCGGCATCTGGCCCTACTGGGACGACACGAACTCGCCGCCGAAGCTTCACGACGCCTTCCACTGCAGACTTCGCGGCAACGTCGTCATTCCCAGGAAAACACTCATGGAACTCAAGAACTTCCAAACGGTAAGAGCAATTCAGATTTTATGATGGGGGATAGATAGACCACCGTTTTTTTTTTAGATCACTGTTTGTTTGTATACGAAACAAATTTCTAAGCGAGAAGAATATGAGTAATACCAATAGGCCATTGAGTTTTTATTACAGGTTTGCTGTTTTGTTTTCGTTGGTGTCGTTGGGGGCCGCCATGTTGGATTTTGTCGTCATGCAGGCGCCATTTTATCCTGGTTAGGATGTGACGCCATTGAATGAAATGAAATGGTACTATAACTTCCTCTAAGGACCGTAGAAACTAGCGTTGCGTCTTTACATTCTTTTCCCACCTAGCCGTTCGGGGGCGGTGCGTTTGTGCGCGGGACGGGGATGAACCTGCGGGAGGGTCGGTTCACGGCGCACAGGCCCGGGGTGTATCACTTCTCCGCCACGCTGCACATCGGCCACCCGCGGCAGAAGCGCCTCAGACCGAGGGACAGCGTCCGGGCGCTCATCTGCATCAACTCGCTCTGCCAGAGACATACGTAAGTAGCGTCAGGTATACCTAAATAGCGTCAGGTGTGCGTCAGTAGCGTCAGACATGCGTAAGTAGCGTCAGTAGCGTCAGGCATACGTAAGTAGCGTCAGGCATACGTAAGTAGCGTCAGGTGTACGTAAGTAGCGTCAGACATACGTACGTAGCGTTAGGCATGCGTAAGTAGCGTCAGTAGCGTCAGACATACGTAAGTAGCGTCAGGCATACGTAAGTAGCGTCAGGTATACGTGAGTAGCGTCAGTAGCGTCCCCACTCTATTGACATCGTAAAGGCCAAATTGCCATAGCTGAAGTTTCCCCAGATAAGCTTTAGACTCCCCGTAGCCGCCTCTAAATCCCAAACCGGTGTCCGTAAGACCTTCCAGACGTGGACGTCATTGTCAAGTAAGTGGTCCATGACATCATCGTTTGAGATGACGTCAGATGGTAGGGTCATTTGAGGACATTTGATGTGTTTGCAGGTCGTACCCAGATATGCAACCTAGAAGAGGATAGCTCTACCGGAGGATATTATTACTCGCTTTAGACAGCGCGAGAGTTCGATACAAAATGTTTTCCTCTGTATATATATCTAGCTTCATGAAAATCAACATGTGCTCAAATGTCTGAACCAAAAGTTTGAATAATTTTGGTGGGTTATTTCCCCCACCGATCCATTTTACTATTAAGAAGCCTGATCATTATGAGACTTGTAAAAGTTGCTTTCTGGTACAAGTTAGCAATTTTTTTTTTTCATTCCAACACGTAATCACCAGACGTGGTGATGGCACACTCAAGTTCTTTCAACTAATATTAATGCCGCCACCAACACAGGGGACATATACACGACAGGACAATACTCATTTACACCTGAGCGAAGTGAGGAAAGTCGTGTAAAGTGCCTTTCCCAAGGGCACAAGATCGGTGGCATGTCAGGACTCGAACCCGGGACTCTTAGTTCCGAGTCTCGCTCTCTGCCGCTACACCTCACGACCCCACCTCTTAGCATTAAGAAGCCTGATCAATATGAGACTTGTAAAAGTTTCTTTCTGGCAGCAATTTAACCACAGGAGGACAGATAAAACACCCACCGTGCTATAATAGAGTAACTAAATCTTCATGGAAAGGACCAAGTTTCGGGAAGGGCTTTACGAAGACATTCAGCCTTACTTTATCTTAGGGTCAGGGTCATGGTCAAGGATTCAAGTTCAAACAAGGACGGGATGTTCGTCATCAAGGGCAGCTGTTTGGAGACATCAGAAAATTAGAAAAGTGGTCGTTATCAAGTTTACGTCATGTCCCGATAACGTGTTACACCTGAATGTAAAAAAGGGAAACGGACCAAAACCGATTGTTGAACTGTCGATGAAGGTTAGACATCCTCGTAGAACATTACACTAAGCTTAAACCTTAGCCTTAGGTACTCCTGTGCGTACTGGCACACCGGGCAACAAGTTTCCGACTAGTTTTTGTCTAGTCAAGTGAAGTCAATGGCTTTATTTTTGTACTGGGAGTGTGAATGAAGTTACAAGTTGTTTGACTTCTCCATTGCATGATAAACAAAAGCTAGTCCGAAAAGCTAGAGAATATTATCCACTTAGATTCTGAATATGCAAGGAGATTGTACTTGCTGGGAATGCTGTCAATATCACCTTTATTTGGCTCGTTCCATCTCCGTATGGAGTTATACTTGTTTAAATTTCCCCTATTACGATAAAGAAGGCCTCCTACAGAAATGTAACACAATCGTGAGTTACGAGGTAAATTACGAGAAAAAATATCAGGGTTTAAAATGTCATTCGATTAGTATCCTGCGGTGTATTTCCCACGAAGGTGGTCTCATCCTGACCTTTTGATTAAAAACTGGCCAGTGATAAAGAAAAGTTAATCACAACAGCCTAGTCAAGGCTAATCTAGATCCCCAGGCACTTGCTGAGAGTCGTCCCCAGGATACTTATCATTCTCCCAGCATGCTTTGCGCACAAAATACGTTCTCTTTCCCAGGATCGTGTCTGTGTGACCAAGGAGCTGATTTTACGTCCTTGGTGTGACTAACCCGGGCGGCACTAAGTCTCATGCGGCCGTATGATGCATTACGTTTTACAAAAAGCATTTTTGTGATGCGCCCTGTGTATGTCCTGCAACATTCAGCCGTCTTATTACGGAAATGATGCTGTATCGGTCCCTTAATGGCTACTGGTTTTGTCACTGCCTGCTCGAAACTTAATAATATACCACATAAAAATCATACGACAACCTACCGTACAGTTGCTAAAACTCCTCTGCTGACGCCTTGACTATCGCCTTTTGTACGAGGCTACATGTACATGTGCAGAGGGTTGCGTACTCAGAGTGGCGCCTTTGCAGGGTAAATAAATAAAAGAAATTGGCCTATAAAGAATGTAATATTGGACCCTCTATGGCCAGCTACATTCTTTTTAGGCCAATTTCTTCTACTTATTCAGCCTGCAAAGGAGTCTAATGGAGACTAGTACGAGGCTACATGTGCAGAGTGGCGCCATCCATACCGCACGATGACGTGTTGTGGTCTTTCGATGTTTACCGTCAGTGGTAGAACCGCGTGCAATCCGCCATACGATAGGATTATAAATTTCGACAGCAAATTGAAAGCATTCTTGGAATAGACGAATTATGTAGAATACTGTTCAGCTGTCTACCACATCAAATGTTTTCGTACATCCTTACAAATCGTTTTCCTAGTCTATTTTTGTCGTATTTTGGATACTACTAGTAGTAGACTTAAATTTAAGTTGACAGGCCTCCACTGTGCCATTTCCACCCCTGACCCACACACAGAACTACTCAGATATCCTGGTTCCAGTGTTTGTTGTAGTCCACTTGGTGTGAAATCTGGACGGTTGTCGCTAAAAGACCTCGAAAGGAAAACAGACAAACACGAGAAAGGCCACCGGATGGAAACGTTTTCTTAACCATGCCATGTGCTAGTGAGTGTTGTGTATGCTATGCAAATTAGCTGATCTTTACTGCTTGAGTTACGGTTAAATTTATTTCTGCCTTTCCACCGCAGGTCGCTAGAGGTCGTCACAGGCATCGAGAGCAACAGTCGAGTCTTCACCATTTCAGTCAGCGGCATGTTGGAACTACAGGTGAGTCCTCGTGCTGTTCGTAAGGGCAAAGGTTGGAAAGGGCAAAGGTCGGAAAGGTCAAGGGTCAGTATGGGTACAGGTCGAAAAGGTCAAGGGTTGGTAAGAGTAAAGGTCGGTAAGGGCAAAGGTAACTTCCTTAGAACGATACAGTTACGGCAGCAAATCCAGGGCGTTCTTTGCAAAATAATACGACGAAAAATGTCGTAGTATGTGATAGGCAATTACATGTCCAGCCATCAAATACTGTATTACTGCCTCATATTTGTTACTGCATTTGTAATTTTCATTGTAAATTTTCCAGTGGTGACGCTAGTCTTTGCAACTAGCTAAAGTTCTTCACCTTTGTGTCTTGTACCATGTCATGTTGATCATTTAATAAAAGAAATCTAAACGTGGTCTATACACCCTTGTTCCGTTACAGAGCGGCCAGTACACCTCTATCTTCATGGACAACAGCTCCAAGAAGCCCGTGACGGTCCAGAGCGGGTCTGACTTCACAGCAAACTTCGTCGGGCAGTAGGCGGCAACCTCCAGCCTGTCTTTAACACTGGGACGCCGTACATTGCAGAAGCAGGGCCTGTCTCCTAGCACATCCTAGGGTGGCAAAAGACAGTATCAAATTGGCCAGGCTGTACCCAAGGGTGGCGTATGGGCCCTCTCTGGATGCTGCCTGGATACTGCCTGGCCAATTTGATACTGTCTCTTGCCACCCTAGGATCTGTTTGGAGATCAAAGAAGTGCTGCTCTCTAGAAAGAGCTGTAAGGCTGAGAAGGACGAAACTCGATCCAACAAGCATCTTCTGACGCAGTTTCCAGCAACATTACCCGAGTTTGAAAAGAATACGGTGCTGGGATCATAACTAGATGGTTCAGGGCCATTATTCCATGTTTAAGGGGAACCACAAGAAGAACAGAGCAGTGTCATACATGTTCCAAATGCGCTGTCAAAACGACTCTGTCTTTCAGTATATTCCAGGCTGAATTATATTAATTAAGATTTGTTAGGAGTAACCCATATTATTTCGTCAGTGACGCTGCATATGTCCAATGTTTGTATTGAGTTTATCTTCGCTACATCGATGTATATACAGTACCTATATAAGGGATATCATGTTTCATTGGGTCAGAGGTCAGAGAAATAGAACTGACCTTGATAGTTCAAAGGTCAAACCAACGTCCCACAATGCAACGGGACGAAATGACGTTGTATGGTATGTTAATTTTTATTCTAAGCTGATAATACGTTTATTGTAAGACGTAAGAAAGTAACATTATTTCAAGCTTTTACTAAACATGTTTCAGAGCAGTCAACGTGCTTAAATTGAGTTTATAACTGTTTAAATAGCGTTTGGGTATAATATATCTCGAAAGGCATTCAGATGTTTATTTTCGTATTGATACGTTTTTATTTCACCTCTTAAAAATGAAGCATAACCTTATGTGTCATCGCTGCGTCTCATAATTATAATATCATAGTAATAAACACGGGACTGTTCTCTGACGCGAGGCGTTTTGCGGGTGTTTTGCATTTCTTTGATACTCACACTGAAAACTGCTCATTTACTGGAATTTTTCACATTTCAAAGTCTTGAATATGACTGGTTTTGTACAGAAGCCTACGGTGAGGTTACTAGTATTTTTGCCCCCCTCCCCTGCAATAAGCACAGACTGCTCTTCACTGTCTTTCAATTCAAAATATGGCGCCACCATAGACTGCCCCGGCATGCTTTGCGCAGTTAGAACTGCACTTAAGTCTGATAAAGGTTGGAGGCGCTTCTGCACGCTGGTAAGGATATAGGAGTTCTGTATGCTGGTAAGGATATAGGGGTGTTATTTTGCACAACAAAACTTATCCTACATTGCTTACGTTTCGGTGTATATCAAGCAACTTCCTCAGAGCGTCTGACCAACCTGATGGAATTATTTTCGGATGCATGCTGTGAAGTGTGGGGATTGCATAACGCTGCAATATAAACCATGGGCGCCAGAGGGAGCTGCTTATTGGTAGAATTTTGTTACACCATCTTCAAAAATAAGACAAGCAACCATCTGATGAAATAACAAGGTAAAATTGATTTATCGTGTATCACAGCATGTACAAAGTCATGATTCACGGGTGTACAATACATGTCAATGTTTTACTTCTCATACGAGCCCAGATATGAGTTATCAAAATCATACTAATAGTATATCATCGTCCGACTTAGAACTTGACCGAGGAGAGAGTTTTCCAATGTTAGAAATGTGTAGCAAATATTATCGAGCACGCTATGCACAAAACCAGGCATTTTTCTGAACTCACTGATTTCTTCAACGAATTTAACACACTCGTTATTTCATGATCATCCTATTCATGATAACATGACTGTTTGGATACATGAAGCATTTTTATCGCCTGAAAGTTATCAACCTGAAACGAACTTCATAAGTTTCTTAAGTCAACTTTTTACGTTTCTTGTCATTCGGGATACGGAAGGATTGAGATGTACCAAAACAGAAAAAGACATACTTTTGACAAACATTTTAAACAATACACACAACAGGGTTATTAGATATTTTGGGGAGTTTTTAAGACGCACTCTGTTTCTTCGTCAACCCAGGAAGGTCTCGTCTTGGAGTTCTCTTGTCACGTGCCTTGATGTTGATTATCACGTAACAAGAGACGGTCATATGCAGGGTTTAGGTAGTGACGCCCCCTATCTCTGTTCAAGGTAGTGCATTGTCTGTGGACACTTCTCGTGTTCGCTACTCCCAGCGTCCAAACATCGCTGGCTTTTGTTCCAGGACAAAGTACATCCGGGACACCACAGGCAGATGACCCGGATGTAAGAAGACCCGGATGAAACTCTGAAGCTGCAACTCTTCATCTCACTGTGTCCTGTTTTCCCCGAGCTTCAAAATACGGTAGCAACAACAGAGGTCACATCGCCCCTTTTCACTACCCAAAGTCCACCCAAGCATCGCTGGCTTCTGTGAAGGTAAAGGGTACATCCGGGACACCACAGGCATGTAACCCGGATGTGACAGGACCCGGATGTCGCTACCCCGAGTCGACCCAGGCGTCGCTGGCTTTCCTCTCTAGCGGCTCGTCCTCGTCAGTAGATTCCTGGTTCCTACAGGAGCACATAATCACTCCGATAAACACAAAAATCATGGCGAACCCTGCGTACTGCAAGGTTTCGTCCATGGCCGTCTTGTTGCGCAGCGGCGGGCCGGCTCGCTTGATGAACATGAGACAAGGCCTCTGATTGGGCAGGCTCCTCTCCAGCACGTCATCCGGCGCCGATGCGTTCCAATGAACGGAGGTGTACGTGAAATCCTGGACGCCCGTCACGTGGCAGTGCAGCCTGTACCTCGTGACGTTGCTCTGGTCCCTCTCCCACAATTCCATGCAGACGCCGCGCTTCCGGTCGGGCGGCATCGTGAGCACGTCGGCCCAGATCGGGTTGTCGCCGTCCGACAGTTCGCACGACTCGTACGGGCTCGCCTTGTTGCAAGAACAGACCGGCAGAACCTCGTAATCGTACCGGCACGTCACGTTAGAACTGCAGCAGAACGTCGGACAAAACTCGCCTCCTCTTTCGTGCCGTTCGACGCTTTTCCCTTACTGTCTCGACTCGTCCTTTTACTACTGCTAACACTTCTACTGCTACTACTACTGCCACTACTACTACTACTACTACTACTACTGCTGCTACTACTGCTACTACTGATCACTCCGACCGTCCTATGCTGGCCTGTTGAGGCATAGTTGTTTGTACTTGTGCTTGCAGGCGTAGTACTCGGTCTTTCCGTAAAACTCACGGTCTCTGCTATTCCGGTTGAAAGCACATCCTGTGACTCCTCTGTGTCTATATACGTGGCGAAATCATCATCATCGTTGACCTTTTGTAGGGCAACCGTTCCAAGATGGCCGCCGGGTGGTGATGACGTAAGTTCGAACGCGGGGTCGGAGGTCAGGTGTGGGTCGCCGTCGCCGCTCTCCCCGCTGCCGTCCAACTCGTCCCCAGGGAGTTTGATCCTGGGTACGAGATCGGCGTGGCGGTGTGCCAGCGGCGTGACGCATGTCGCGATGTGGGCCATTCCAACTAGAAGAAGCACAGAGAACATGGCGTCCTGATGGTGGCTCTGTCGTTACCAGTTGTCCGTCTGCATTGTCAATGTTAAAAGGGTTCCTTCAGCAATCATCTGAAACGAGAGATAGACATTACTAGAAAGGTCACATTTGCAAATGTTTACCTTAACATGGTCTAGCTAGCTTAAAACAACTGCTCTTTGATATTAGTCAAACAAATTCGTGTATTTTCATCGTTGGCGTTGAAAGGGTTTTATTCGCTGTCATCTGAAATGAGAGATAGATATAAGTAGAAATGAGACATTTGCAAATACATAGTTAACTTTACATCAACATTGTCTAGCTTAAGTTAAAAAACTACTGCTCTGTTTATTCTTATTCAAATATATTAATTTATGTGGTGACCAGCCCTTTCAACTTTCAACATTCACGGTTTGCAACATGTCAAAATAGATCAGTTCATTACAACGTACAGAATATAAGCCAAGTATAGAGACCAAGCAAGTGGTTCAAAACCACCTGCCTCTGGTGATTAAAAACAGTAAAGCTCTGAAACAGCAGTAAAACATCAAAACGATAGATCCGTCACTCCCCACCCCCACCCCCAAATCACAAGCCCATGGTTTACAACATGTCGAAACAGATGCAGTTCATTAACACGATAAGCCATGCATAGGCGAAGTGCTTCAAATCCATTTGTCTCTGATGATTAAAAACAATTAAACACTAAAACAGCAGATCACTCCCAAAAAATCACATCCACGGTTTACAACATGCCAAAACAGATCCAGTTCATTAGAACTTACAGAATAGAAGTCATGTATAGAGACCAAGTGCTTCAAATCCATCTGCCTCTGATAATCAAGCGGCTTTAAAACAATAGATCACTTCCCCAAAAAAATCAAATCCACGGTTTACAACTTTACAACATGTCGAAACAGATCCAGTTCATTAGACCTTACGTGCGAATGTTTCACACCAATCTGGTTGTGATGATTAAAACCAAACGCACCTCTCAACCGTGAAACGATACAATCTGTTCCCGGCTCGTAACATTATGCACCGACATGTTTCGGCTCCCACCGCAGAATGGATCGAAGGCGAACTGAATAGTAACAAACACTAAGTGAATAATGCACACATTGAATGGCTGTAGCTTAGGAATTGTTAACATTATTGATCATCCACAGAACAATGTGGTTATGGTTATGGTACTGTCATCTGTGAAAGCTTCGCATCGATCATGGTCGTATGCTGAACTTACGCGCGTTAGGAAGGCAGAAGATTGATGATGTACTAGACTAGTATACCTTTCAAGTACATAAGGTCATGTTTGGCGTTGACATAAGGCCTCTTTTGTCATATACCAA